GCCTGTCCTTCCTGACAATTCACTGCAGCTCTCAAACATGTAGCCCCCTATCATCCCACGAGGGTAAGGAGACACCATATCCCTGCTGGCCCAGAACTGAGCCTAGGAAGAAACTTGATGACCTGGGACAACCTGAGAGTACAGGCATCCGATGCAAAGGGACAACACAACATGTCATGGCTCTTGAAATAAACAGAATAAAAATGCCAAAACACCTCCAGGCCCCAAGCTGCCACCTCTTTGATATGTTCTGTGGCTGCTAACCTGTCTGCAAACACTGCAGTTACAAAGCAGGTGGGCAATTCATCAGCCAGCTGCATCCTCCCAAGTGCCACTATTTCCTTTTGTCCTGCAATGAGGAGAATTTGCCAGCTCTTTCATCTCTCTGACAAGAACACAGGACCCTCACAGCTCCTGGCTACTTGTTGGCCCTCAATGAGACCTGCCTGCATTTGAAGGCACTGGTGTGAACTGAACACAAGGACTGTGAAGAAGACATGCTGCTGCATTGATGTCTGAAGATGTAAAATTCAGGCAACCTCTTCTGACCCTATTGCCCACTCCTCCCTCCTAGAGGCCAAACTTGTGATGGCAACTCAATTCCTCCCCATGAACACTTTGCATCAGTCCAACTGCTCCTACTGGTAACAGCTTCTGTCCTTAAGCACCTAGCTCATTTGGGATTACAGGCACAGCATATGTTTGTTGCCTCCCTGTCTGTAAGCTCTTTATGGAACCCTGGCAGCATGAGGATGCAGAACACAGAGGAGGCAGGGGGCCGGGGAGAGGGGAAGGATATTGGAGTGCTGACTCCAATATGTCCTGAGAGGACAATGACAACTCAGGGTTCATCCACTGCAGCTGGTCCCTTTTAAATGCTGATTTTGAATATTTACAGAAGAAGAGGAGGAGAAATCATGAAAGTACCTGTTGGGATTTTTTTTCCAGAAGGTTTTCTTCCAGAGAAGAGGCCAGCCTGAGAGCACTCAGGCTGCCTCCAGCCCTCTGTATATACCCAGCTGGCTGAGGCACTGCAAGTTTGTGTGTACACACATCTGACCCACCTCAATACTGCCCTGCAGAAGGCCAAGGGAGGAGGTACAAAAGTTAGAGGCTGATGAAGACACTGCTTAATACCGTATTGATTTTTCTGACCTGCCACTGACAGCTCTAAACCGAAGCCCAAAGCTGTCAGACAATGCCAAATCTCAGCCCAGTGTTGATGACTTGTTACACTGCTGACCTGGGCTGGACCCACAGCACAAGTGAGCCTGAGAGGCTTAATACCTCCCCTCAAAGGGCTTATCATCTGACACTTCCCTACTAGAAGGCAACCTGAGGCATTAACCAGAAATTCCAGGGGTCATGCAATAAATCTGCCTTTCCTGGGCATTCACCTTCACTTCAGACACTGGCTGCAAGAAAATCGTGGCTGGCAAACTTCATCTCATAACTGAGATCACAGAATCAATTAGCTTGGAAAAGACATCCAAGATCATCAAGTCCAACTGTTAATGTAGCACTGCCAAGTCCACCACTAAAACATGTCCCCAGATGCAACATCTACATGCTTCTTAAATACCTCCAGGGATGGTGACTCAACCACTTCCCTGGGAAACCTGTTCCAGTGCTTCAGAATCTTTTTGGTGAAGAAATTTTTCCTCATTTCATATCAACCCACTCCCTGGCACACTTGAGGCCATTTCCTCTTATCACTTGGGAGATCAACCCCCATCCCACCATGACCTCCTTTCAGGCAGTTGTAGAAAGCAACAAGATCTCTCCTGAGCCTCCTTTTCTCCAGCCTGATCAGATCCCACTCTAGTGCTTTCTTCCCTCAGGTAGATCAACACTCCTGCCCAGCTTGGTGTTGTCTGCAATGTGACTGAAGGAGCACTCCATCCCCTTGTCCAGAGAACTGGTCCTAAAGACTCGCCCCAGTACTGAGCCCTGTGGAACACCACTGATAAGTGGCCACCAGCTGGATGCAATTCCATTCACCCGCATGCTTTGGGGTTAATCATCCAGGTTTTTTACCCAGCAAAGTGAACACCCACCCAAGGCACAAGCAGCAGTTATTTGGCTTCTTGGTCTTCCCCTTGATTGTGACCCATAAAAGCCCAACCCTATTGTTTACCATCATTAAAATAGTTTAAACCTCTTTCCACAAGTCTGATTAACTCCTGTGGAAAGATCCTTTCCCTCTTTTGAATCAGGTGTCTACTATGTCTATCACTAGCAGGCCTGATATTATGTAAATTGATCCATGATCAAAATCCAAACATTCTGCCAGTGACAGCAGATTGATCTGCTGGCTTTTCCGAGTTCTTCCCTCATCATTCCCTGCAACTGGTAGGATAGATGAGGACACCACTTGTGCTCCTGGTCCCTTAACCAGCTGTCCCAAGGCCCCAAAGTCTCTCTTGACTGCCCTTGGGTTTGTAACTTGATCGCTGCCTACCTGAAAAATCAATAATAGAAGAAAATCCAAGAGCCATATCAGGGTAGGAAGCTTTCTCTCCGCATTTTTTACCTGGGCCCCAGCAAGGCTGTAGACTTCCCTAAAAAGTGTGTCCAGCCTGCATATGGGGCCTTCTGTGATTTTGTTCCTTCAGAAGGGAGTGTCCCATGAGAATGACCAAGCCTCTCATGGAGAAGCAGTTTTGATGGAGGGTGGCAGCTGATTTAACCGCACTGTTACCTCCAAACTAGATGAACCATCATCCCTCATTATTGCTTGGCTCCACTTGCAGAGTCTTGCACCTATTGTGCAAGGGCATCTTGAGATACCACACAGCTGAGGCAGGACTTAGCCAGGATGGATTCCCAACAGAATCCTGTTTTCCTCATCTCAGGAAGGGGAGTCAAAAATGTGAAAGAGCTTGTTTTGCTCCTTCTCATCTGTCTGAACTGCACATTCCCTTGTACAGCTCTCTGTTCTTCCTTGCCTTTCCAGGCTGTGCACACAGAGTCACGTTCCTGATCTCCAGGCTACGTTTAACATCACTTTACCACAGATCTCAAGGGGAAAGCTGAGCACCTGCTCTGCTGAGCCCTGAGGTTTGGAATAGATGCAGGCGAGTTTACTTTGCTAAGCAGTCCCACAGGTTTGTCATACCCTCAGCCCCATGATGTTGGGGTTTGGAAGGAAGACAGACTCTGCTGGAGGAGCAGGGGTACCAGCTCCTCCCCAGCCTTTGAGGCAGAAAAGCACTAGCCACGAGGATATATTATGCCTCATGAGAAGGTGGCAGCAACTCTCCAACAGGCTAAGATACAGATCCTTCAAGCTCCCACCCTTGCCCTTAGGCTGACATGAGCTCCCCCTGCTCTCTAAATCACCAATGAGCATTTCCCATGAGGTTTTTCCAATTTCTCCCTCAGCTGTGGAGTCCTCTGTAAGCACAAGGCATTTTGTACAGGCACTGATGGATACTGATTGTTGTGGACGAGAGGGTGACTGTGTATGAAGAGAACCCCAGCAAAGTTCAGTGGCTTGGAAGAGTTTTCCTCAAGGGGACAGACTAGTACAAGTACAGGATTGTCCCTGTCAGACATCTCATTTTCCTTACCCCTGTCCAAACGAGTGAGAGAGTGCTGTCTGCCTGCATTAAGGTGGTTGTATTGTTGATAATTTGCAAACAGGCAGAGTTCACTCGAGGAAAAATGCAAAGCATGGCTGGGCAGGAGTGGAGAGACTCTTAAAACACTTTCGTCTTTTATTAAACAAAGTTATAAGACCTCTGGGGGAAAATCTATACCTAGTTAAAAGTTTAGCAAGTCCAAGGAGATAGTCAAGGCTACAGAAACCAATTGGTGGGAGCCTGAGACTTACTCACTAGCTAATTCATAATGTTTCTGAGAGAAGAACATGACCCAGAGCTGCACAGAGTGTCTAAGGCACTGCTTCTGGGAGGATCAGGTGAAAAGTTCTCAAGTTGTTGGTGATAGCAGCCATTGCTCCTTCAGGAAAAAAAGACAAAAAAGCTGTCCAGCTATTTTGAAAGAGACAATTGCAAGAAAAAAAGCCTTTTGCCTGAAGCAGTCTTGCAATTACCAAGGCTGGTCAGCCTGAGTTCCCATGGTAAGCATTCCATTCCAGGAAGCTTAAAGCAAATGGTGATGGCAGTTTTGATGGAGGGGTGCTGAGAAAGACAGAGAGAGCAGGATAGGAGAGGCAAGCAGGAAGTTAGGGAAGCACATCCCATACACACAGGGCAAGCTAAGGCTGAAAGAGACACAGAGGTTTGGGCAGCTGTGCTCAGGGAAACATGTTCCTTGTCAACAAAGGACAGACTCTCTTCCACATCAACTACTTATTGAAAGAAGTCCTGCACTCCTGGGGCCATTGTTCAGGTCTGGAGGTAACATTGGCTCTGGAAAGGTTTGGGAAATGCTGGTGTCCTGCAGCAAAGCAAACCCCAGCAAGAAGGCTGGTAATGTAACTCAGCTGGAGGGAGAAAAAGCTGCCACTCATAGAACCAAAGAGTCACTTAGGTTGGAAAAGACCTTTAACACCATTAAGGTCAGCTGCTTACCCAGCTCTGCCAAATTCACCACAGCTACACATCTTTTAAATCTGCTCAGCACCTCCAGCCCCAAGCCAAGGGCACACAAGATCACAAATGCATCTCAACAACTACAGAGGAGTAGATGGAGGTTTTCACTCTGGTCCCCAGTAGACCCAGAATCCACCTCTAAACCCCTCCAAGGCCAGCAGCAAAGATGCACACAAAGGATCAGCGCCCCACCCCACTAAAACAGTCCCAGCACAGCAGTCCCGTGGCCTGGTTATGCACACACACTGCTGGGAAGAGAACAACCAACCCAATTTGCTCTGCCGCTTGAGCACCCATCCCTGAGTAATGGGGAAATGATCATCCCTTGTGCAATAGAGCCTTTCAGTGCCAGCTGGAGCAGGAGGCAGACGCAGCACAGGGGACAGAGATTGCCAGCCCCAACCCCCAGCCCCCGCAGCACAGGCAAACACACAAACTTACCTTTCACTCCTTCCTTCACTAACTGTCTTATCGCCATAGCAACTGTAATCCTAGGTCATGCAGCTAGGAAAAAAGAATAAATATAGCACAAATGAAGATATACACTATCACCAAACACAGCCTCAGCGGTAGAATCTAATTTTCATTAGAGGCATAACAGTGGTTTTGCATAATTATACATATATTAATGCCCAACATGCCCATCTTCAGTGGGAGTTCATTAATTCAGTTCTAAATAAAAAGGGTTGCTCATTGCAGGTTAATTTCTTTTTTTTTTTTTTTTTTTAATGCAGAAAATATTTCTAAAAGCTCAAATCATACTTTCACAGCTTTTCCTTAATCCTGAGATTAACAGAGAAAGGAAAACATGAAGATTAAGTTGGCTCTGAAGTAAAAACATGGCAAAACACATAACAGCGAACTTTGCTGCTTTTGAAATGTGAGGAGTGAGAGCAAGCAATAAAAAAATTTGACAAGATGCTGCACTGTACCTGGAATTGGGTCCCAAAGGAAAATATCTAACAGCGTTTGGTGCTTGTGGTAAAAGCAATACAGCAGCCTCATACTGAGAAGAACACACTGCAAGCAACCAAACACAGGTTTGGCTGGCACCAGAATTTACTACACAGCTTGAGGTCAGCATTTACAAGAGGAGGTTTATTTACTCTGATGGCACAGATACAAGATAGCAGCATCAAGGGATGGCCCCAGCCAAGCACACTGTAAAGCAGAGAAACCCTTCCTCTGCATCTTTCTTTTTTAATTTACTCCTCGGGTTCCTTCATTACCTACTAAACACAAACACCCTGAGGCTGGTACCTCAGACCCCTCTTTATTGCTGTTTCCAGGTGGGCCTCGTCTGAGTGATGGGGAGCCCTTGGTGCTGGTCAGACCCCACCTTTCCTGTGTGTGGGGCACTGCCTGGGTATGGAGGTGCTCTGGGACTTCACAGTGAGCTCTTTTATTCCAAGCATGCATGTGGCTCTAAGGATGCTCCCGCAATCCTGACCCGGTGCATGCTGGGCTAAATAATAAAATAAAAGCAGCATCCTAAGGAGATGTCTCTTCACTAACTTCATCAACATCCTATCCAGGGAAGCAAGGGATGCTATTGCATTTGGTTTTGTCTCCATAGAGGCTTATTTAATTCCTTACTTACTGAAGGCAAGGAGAACTAGGACAAAGGGAAGAGGAGGGATGGGCTGGAGGAAAGAGTTGGGAGGAAGGAAAAAGAGGGAGGTGCAGAATAAATGGAAAGACAGAAGAAGAAATTGAGAGAGGTCTATCCTAAACAGCAACAAAAATCTGTCATGACTGTCAATCTCTAGTTCCTCTCCTCCTTGTGCTGTCATTAGTACACAGCTCAAAGCTCAGCCAGTGTGAGGGAGAAACCTCCCTTCTCACCCAAGCTTCTGCAGGAGGGAGAGGGAACTCACTGCCTATCTGTCCAAACCTGTGTCTGCCCTGTTCTTCCCTGTGCTGTAGTGAGCCCTCCCAGACATGGACTTTTGGGATGTGCAGCAGGTCCAAATGTGGCCCCTTCACTCCACACTGCAAGTGTGTCCTGCCCTTCTCCTGGAGATACCTGAGTCCTGGAAACCCACCTGTACATGATGAAAAGAGAAACAGCATCTTGCTTCAGATGCTCCAGGTCAAAACCAGATTTATTTTTTTTTTAACAATGAACATACTCCTCTAACACACTTGTGCCTACTGTGTTTGTCCTCCCCTCTTGAGTGCCAGCCTAGACAGAAGAGAAGCTTTTTAGAGAGGCCAGATGGGGCCTGGCAGAGGGTTCTACTGGGCATGAGCTGTGAGCTCAGTGGAGGAAAGAATCCACCTTCTCTCTGTGAAGTTGTGCTGTAGGTATGTGGGGACTGTTTGCCCAGGATTGCCACTGACTGACTACCCAGTCTTCTGCCTGACCAGAGAGCAGTGGCAGTGTTAAAACCTCCAGAAAAACAGGGTAAGTGTTCAAATGTCTCTGATAAAGTTTACCTGTGGGAGCAGGACAGGCACTGAGATATGGCGGCTAATCCAGAGAAAAGATTCAAGATCTTATCTGAACGGGTGAAGAGAACAAAACGAGCCACTCCTCTGATTTTTGTGTTGTCTGCAGTTACTACCTCTGGGTGCTAAAAATAGTAGGTAGGCCCTGGGATGGGGAAATGAGACAGACAGGGACTTGCTCCATCCCTAGAATTATTTAAGGCCAGATTGGACAGGGTTTTGAGCAACCTGGTCTAAATGGAAGGTGACCCCACCCATGTAGGAGGGAACTGGGACATATTCAAAGAAGAGCTGAAATATGAACTAGGAAACTTGTAGAAACAAGCTTGTAGAGTCCCAGAAATACTGTTATCCCCTGCTTCCCTCCCAGTGGCTCCTGCAGTTTTGATGCAAGTTTGGTCTCTCCCTAGATTTTAATTTCCTGCAGATATCCCTGCACATACAAATCCCTTGACATGGGAAACCAAGCCCCAGAGTCCCTCCCCACTCCACCTCTCAGGGTTTTTTACCCGTGTTACCTGCTGTGACTCCATAGTGCTGTGGCAGCGGCGAGAGAGGTACAGCTCTGCTCAGAAACCTGGCAGGGTGGTCCCCTCCCTGCAAACATGGTCACTGAGCCACACAGAGGAAAAGCAAAGCAGTGAGGATTCAAGTGACACAGTCCCTGTTCCCCTTTGGAGGGACATTTAAGGCAGCTGAAGAGGCAGAGGGGATGTGTGAGCATATCCAGCAGGATGAGCTTTATGATTTAGGCAAACAGTGTAAATGCTTAAGTACTTACATCTAATACTGCTCCTGGCACTTTCACAATGGACTCCCATGCCCAGCCATGCAGAGCAGTCTCAGATGCAGTCTCACAGCAGAGAACTATGGAATTCCATCCTTCTGCCTACAGGCACACCTGGAAATCTTGCACGTGCAGCGTGGCCCTTTCCTCCTGCCCTGCCTCCCCACACAGGGGACAGGCAAGTGATGCTCAGCCGGTCTGACAGTGGCTGGGGATCTCTGTGCCATGGGCATGGCACCTTGGAGGGTGGTAGCACGGGGTAGAAACATGAGGCAGGGGAGTAGGTGATTTGTTGCAATGTTTTGCTGAAGTCAAACAGTAATTCCTGACCAGACAGAGAAATGGAAAGTGTGGCAAACCTTCTCTTCCTGGCCCAGTGCTGAGCTGACGCTGATGCATGCTCATACCAGGGTAGGGGCTCTCTTACCCTCATGGGCTGTCACATGTTCCCACAGCAGCAGCAAGGCAATCACATTCCTCCTTCTCTCTCATGCACACTGATTAAAATCATGCTCATCACAAGTGCCTCAGCTTGAGCACCCAGCCCTTTAATTGCTGCAATGAAGGATATGAATGTAGGCTATTCTGAGGCCAGCAAAGCAGAAAATTAGCATTTAGCATGAAAATGATACCACTGCATCATCACCAGTGCAAAGCAAACAACACAACCAGCCAGGCTGCCTCTTTCCTTCCCTACCTGCATGCTTGGACTCATCCAGTGCTGCAACAGCCCCATTGCTTTCCACACATGTGGGGCCTGTCCCTCTGAGGCTGCCACCAAGACTCAGGCAAGGGCTGCAAGGTGACATCTACTTGCTGACTGAAGTTTTGATGAAGCAGGTTTATAAACACCTGGTGTAATAATCCTCCCTCAGATGTCAAAATGCCACATCAGCTGCTGCATTGATTTCTGCAATATTTACAGAGCAGAAAAATGCAGCAGCAAGTGGGGGTGAGGCTGGAGGGAAGAAACCTGCACCCCTGGTGTGTCCTGTCCCTCAAAGTCAATCATCCATAGCAACCCAGGAGTTAGATCTCCTTTTCCAGACCCTTAGCTCTCTCCATCATTACTGCAAATTTCCCTCAGGCCCTCTCACCTATTTGTTACCTAGGCTGGTTGGACAAAAATAATCATTAAAATGCTGTGTCCACAGAAGCCTAAAAGAAAAGGCTGGGTTTTTATCAGTCAGGCTGGGATGGAGCCATCATCTGGTAGACAATAACTAACCTTCCAAATCTGCCATGCTGTCCCACCCCAGCCAGGGCTCTGCACACTGGTGGTTTCTACAGCAGGGAGAGCTGCCATTTCCCTGGCCTCCCAGTGTAGGTGCCTGAACATCCTTGCATAAAAGGGAGAGTATTTCAACATATTTTGACATGGATCTGTGACCTCTTTGGGTTCCTGAGCAAATCAATGATGCTGAAGTGCCAGAGCTTCCGTTCTGATTAGCAGATGGAATAGCAGTTTATACAGCATGAGGAGGGTCCTGCTGGTCCCCAACAGTGCAAGTGCACACACACAAACACACACGTGGTGGCTCCCACAGCCCCAGGTCCCCTCATGCCCCACCAGGTGATCAGCTCAGCTCCCTGCCAGCCCAGTGCCCCCCTTTCCCCTGCCCACAGAGGCAGGCTGGACTAGCACAGGTTGCAGCCCTGCTGTGCCCAGCCCCTCAGGCTGCTTTGAGGCTGCCCCTTGTCCCAGGCCTACAGTACATGGCTGGACATGGGGCTCACTGCCCTGGGGAAGCAGAGACCTTTGCAAATCGCTCCAGACAGTGTTGCCCAGACATTGCCTGTCTCAGTGCTGTGGGCTCTGCTGGTGAGCAGTGTCCCGAGTCAGCAGTTTGGGCTGCTTTAATATATCCTTGAAAAAAGAGACCAGCGGGAGATCTGTTTATAAGCCACAACCACCCTGAAACAAGTATATGCCTACGCCCACGCACATACACAAAGCAGCAGTGACTATGGAAGCATATGAATAAATATTGAGCAGACACCAAGGGATTTTCAGAATAGTCTCTCTGATTTTTTTTTTTTTTAATTCAATGCCATGTTGTTTGTCGTTGGCTGCTTTTTTTCTTTACCCTCCTGATTTATTTCCTGTGCCTGGGCTTACAAAACTAATCAGTGGCCAATGAAGATTTACAGTCTCATGTGTTATTAATTCTACATTCAGAGTAAGGTAATTTCAAAGAAATTACCAAAAAATATTAGTGTACAGGGAGGATGGGGTAGTTGTATGTATGTAGAGGGATTATACACAAAAGCAGATCTTTTATCCACACCACCCCATTTACACTGCACTCAGCTCTTCTTCTTAGAAATATCTATTATTAACTAGAATATGTCTGTAGATCATCTTGAAATGAACCCTTCATACGCTTGAGATAAGGAGGCGAGAAAAGAAGTGTGTAAGTGAAAAAATAAATTAACTGTGTTGGGGAAGTAATTGAAAGGAGAAATGGGATCACCCACTTTCATTCTTATCCCAGCGATTATTAGATGCAGCAAGGATGACAGTGGTAGTTTTAGAGGAAGGTCCACCTGGTGCTTTATCTCCAAAGCTGTGATAGTTCAAAAGCAAGTCTTATACCAAGGACTTGCGGGGTAATAAAAATGTTTGCCTGTGCATGGACCACATACCTTGAGTTCTTGCATGATGCTTCTCCTCCTTGTGTGTAGGTGGCTCTTTCCTAAACAGGCACTTTTCAGTTTAAGAGCAAATCTTGGATTAAAGATGTTTCGCTAAAAAATAGTTTCTCCTCAGACTGGCATCCACAGAGCCCGTGGTATCACTGAGCATTTGTTTTGAAGCAGCATCTTAGCCTCTCTGAATGTTTCTGAGTTAAGGAAGAGTGACTGCCCTGCCTGCTTGTGCTGAGTGGTTTCTTTTTGAAGATACTCTGCCAGACTCTGTGAAGGAACAGTGCTATTCCCTTAGCAGCATAAGAAATAGAAGAACAGAAAGAAAGTTGTGGCAGCAGAACTATGAAAAATCCCATCTCACTGTGGTCAGCACAAGCAGGTAACTTACAGTTCAAAAATTTCATCCAGTACGAGTCAGCTGAAGGAAAGAAAGGGGAAGGGCTGCAGGAAGAGATGCTTTGTTTGCATGGTACACTAAGTGCACTGACACTGCCCCAGCAACCAGAAGCAAAACAGAACAAAACAACAAAACACAGCTGCAGCATCTTTCAAAGTTCTCCAAAATAATGCAGATAGTTAAAGCAGCATTAGACAGAAGGTTAAAGTGCTCTGGTCTCTGAAAATGTCCTTGGAAAAACAGTACCTCTCCCTCTGCTATCATTCTGCTCTGTGGACCATGAGAAAAAGGGAGAGTCGTATCTGTCAACTTTGGTGACTACAGACAAAACCACTAAGGAAAAAGATTTGTATTCCTGTGTGTCCACAGCACTGCACAGCAAAGGGGGAGTGTGAGCTGGAGCCTGCTGTGCTTTTCATAGCAACAGCACAGCTGCTCATGGGAGCAACTGCAGGAGGTATGGAGTCCTCCATGCTCTTACTGATGTCATGGGCATGAAAAATGCTCAGCAGCACTGCTGACATGCAAAGCAAGGCTGAGAACAAACCCAGCCGTATGGCTCATCTTTGCAATCCCATGGCTGGCATAAGGGGAAGGGCAGATTGTTAGTGCTTACTGCTGCAGCTGTTGGAGCAAAAGCAGAGGTGTGCTGCAAACCAGTGTCTGGGATGCTGGTTTTGGTAGGGGGAGAGCATCTTCCCTGCAAACTGAGCACATCTGCTCTAGAAGTGGCTGGGAGGCCACATTCAATAAATATTGAATAGCAGATTGCCAGCTCCAGCTCCTGTGCGGCAGGATCTCAGTAAATGTAAACAGGGGCTTGGAAATATGCAGAAGAAGGAAAAATGCTAGAGAGGAAATATATATATATATCTAAATGAGGTGTAAAAAAAGAGTGATAACTCAAAGACATGGAGATAGTGAGTTCCTACTGGAAACCAGTCCCTAGCAAGGAACAAAAAAAAAACCATGAAAAAAAGGAGAAGCAAGGCAGATCTCATAAAGCATTTATGAAGAGCAGGAAACTGAGACCCTTGGAAAGTCAGGACACATACAGGACACATAAACTGAACTGGGCGGCAGATATCCAGGCGCCTGACTTTGCAAGGTACCAAGCTCTTCTTACAAGGTTCACTATGTTTTGTATCACAGCTAGTTAAAAAAATCCACAGGGTTTAATTTTTTCCTTCTCTGTGGAATCTTGTGATGAACCCAAGTGAATCCAAGCCATTTACTTCCATGTCTTCCATAATAAATTTTGAGTTTTTAGTTACATTAACTAAAAATAAATCTCTGCTTCTGATCTAGCATTAGGACAACTTTTGCTCTCATTGTACAGTTGGTGCACAGGGCGTATTTCCTGCAGGCACCTCACTGCCTGGGACCCATCTTCAGTGCCCCATCAGGTGGACAACTGACCTGGGGTCTTGAGGATTCAGTCCCCAGAGGCCAACCAGGCCACAATACCTCTGTGATGCCCTTTGGGAGCATTTTGAATGTGAGAGACATTTTGGTGGGAAAAGTACAAAATTCCTTGAAACACTTCAAGGTTTTCTGCTTTATGTTTCTTCTACTTGAAAAATTATTTTCTTGCTCAATAATGGTTTCAGTTCCTCCCCTCCCACCAAGTCCCGCTTAGTTCATACGAATTTCACAGAGGGATGGTGGTGTGCAGTCCTTTACACAGGCCTCACAAAAACCTCCAAAACAAAACAAAACAAAAAACCCTAAAGCCCAAATTGATAAAACAGAGCAATATCAGGCTGACAGCAGAGAGCACCCTGGCAGGAACTGCCTGCGGTACAGTCCCTTGTGGGAAGTGGGGAGTATTAGAGGCTGAATAGATGCCTGGGCAAATCCTAAGGTGTTGTCTGGGAGGTGGGTGGGTGATGCCAGAAGTTTTGCGTACCAACAGCCAGGCATAGCTGGGAAAGGCAGCTGTCACCAGGAGAAGCTGCACAACCTGAAGCACTGCAGAAATCCCCAGCAAAACCACAAAGTCCTTGTTGGGGTTTAGTGTTCTGCTGCTTCTTTGGGAAGGATAGATGTTTTCTGCTTCTTATTGAAACAGTAAATAATTAAAAGAAAAAGACAAAATAGTCTTTAAGGATAATCTAGTCTTCTGTTTCCATGGCAACTTCCTCCCTAAGACAGAAGCCTTTTGCTCCAGTCATAGAGGGGAGGGTGAAAGCCCTTTTGCAAGGAGGTGGGTGAGGTGGCATGACCCTGCTGGAAGGTGAAGGGGAGACATCCTGCAGAGCAGGACTGCCATCAACCCCAAACCACAGGAGAAACAAAGATGTCACTTCCAGGGACAACCTGGAATAAGCCTAGAGATATCCATCCAAGGGGCTGTAGTCACCCCATGAGGTCACCACCACCATCTTTTTTACCCTTCTTCCTCCCAGCTATCCCAAGTGCAGGCCATGCTTCTCTCATGATCAAATACTGAGGTACTTTCTAGCACTCCACCAATCTGATGTCTCTCCCATTGTTCAGCTGAAACATTTCACAGCCCATACAACTGCCAGGACAGCTTGGAGTCCCACCTCCGTGTTCTCTTGTGATAAGCTTCCAAGAAGCACTCTGTGCATTGAAGTGTCTGGGGTTTGGATGGGTTTCAACTCCTTGGGTTTTTTGGTAAGCCCTGCCTCTGGCTTCAAAGCAGCTCTGGGTTTGGGTCAAAGCCTTGTGCAACCCACATTCATTGTTCAGCCATTTAGTGACTGACTTCCTTCCCTGAGGATGTGAAACCATGTGTCGTGTCCTTCCTCTCTGCCCACGGAACAGTGAGCAGGGGCAACTCACCCAAAGAATACCAGTGCAAAAAAAGCATTTAAAGACCCTTATTATTGCTTTAATAAATCTGTATTTGCATCCTTTCTGCAAGGACAAGGACCCAGGCTCTCCTGTCCTCTACTCACAGGTTCTGACCTCCCTGCAGTCAGCATGCATGCTTGCAACAGAGCAAATGAATTAAGTCTCCACAGTAATTATCCTTTTCCTGGCTGCTGGTTCCAAGTGATGTGCTTGCTGTTTACAACCCTGGTCTGTAAGATGCAGCAGCTGCTTTAAAGTAAGACAGGTCACAATAAAATCAGAACATCTTTTGTGCTGCCCTCTTCACAATGCTTTGTATGCCAGCTGGAAGACCTCTGTGAGAGCTGCAGAGGTCTTCTTGGTCTGATGGAAAAAATGGGACAGGGAGCCCTGCTCCTTCTCCTCATGCTCTAGACATTTCTGTCTCCATTAGGCGGCTATCATCTCCCTCCTGCCCTTCCCGGTCTGTCTCTGACACACCTGAGTGGAACGTCTCTGGGGTAGTACATGACATCCAAAATACTTTGTTCCCCTCGGGTGGTTGGTTTTCCTACCCACTTGCAAATCTGGGAAGGGTAGAAAACCTTGGAGTTGCTGCAGGAGGAGATCCAGGCTGGCCCTGCCAGGAAGGAGACTTGTGCAGTTGTACCTCTGGAAAAGCAAGGAGGGATGCAACCTCTGGAAGCCTTGTTGCAACCACTTTGGGAGAGGGTCATGCTGGACAGAATCTTGCATCCTGAGGCAGGTCATGGTTTGAGGTGTCACTCTGATCTTACCCTCTGGAATTCTCCCTGCTCCCAGTGCCCTACAAGGCAGAGACAGGGGGAGCTGCAGTTCTCCTCGTCCCTCTCACCCATCTCTCCAGCTTGTGAGCCAGTTGGCCTGGACACAGCACACATCAGCATCCTTACACTGGCATGCACACACGAACACACACACACTCTCCATCAATATTCGCTGCTCTCCATACCCATGGTTGGCACTGATTAGGACTCTGGTCCCAGCTACACTGATGCAAATCAGGAAAAT